GGAAAGAGAGGACTCCTCTCTCACCCAGACACAAACCCTAAAGAAGTCAGGATACACCACTCTTTCTCTATCTACACTACTTTTAAGCCATATATTCTGGCCAGATGGCAAAGGGGCCTTCCTGGCAATGCTATCTAGGCTGCTAACCTTAACGTCAAGGAAGCGGAAAACGCTCCATTTACAAACTAGAGGCAGGCCCATTCCAATTATATGTGAGAAAGTTCACTTAGCAAATTTCCTATTACCTATGGATCAGCAAGTGTTACAATGTTTCTGTGTTTCCACAGTAACGGCAAAGAAAATCGTAGTTTGAATTCCCCTGTACTGTCTCTTCTAGAGGCAGCAAGCTTAGGGTGTTGAATTCTAGGACATAACGACCCCCAGGCGTATGATAACACCAGGCCTTGTCTATCTTGGTCTTCCTATGTCCCTAGTGGGTCTTCCTGATCCGATTTATCCAATCTGTAACAGATGGCTCTTGTCAGTGCTGTCAACACTTTCTATTTGCTTAACTACACCAGGAAAGGGAGTGTCTAGAAAGCACACACTTTCTGGGGGGCTCAAGACCTCCCCGATGGGGCCAGAACTACGGCGATTGCAGACCCGGGAGGAAATCTTGGAGAGGTCGGGGCTGAGAGGGCGGGTGGGCAGAGTCCGGGGACCAGAGGGTGACATAAGACAGGGTGGGCATGTGCCAGTAAACACAAGTACTAGGCTCTGGGCACGCAGGGATATAAAGCTCTAAAGTAAACATAAAGAACGTAAGAAAGGGGGTGTGAAATTCTAGCAGAGGAAATTCTGGGGTCAAGGCTCAGAGAAAGTATGGTGCAAGGGACAAGCCCAAGAGCCGGCAGCGCGGAGGAGAGGATGCCTGGGGCCCGAGTCTCCCGGAGAGCAGTGAGCCCAGGCCCGCGTCGGTCCCCAACCCATCTCCTCACCAGAATCAGGGCTACGGCCGCCAGCGCCGCGCCGAGCACCGCCAGCTGCAGCAGGATCGGAGCCATCCTCCATGCCGGCGCAGCCGCCCGCCCTATCCCGCACCTACACACATGCGGAAGTGCGGCCGCGCAGCCCCGCCTCCCACCCGCAGAGAGACCGCGCCGCCGCGGCCAGACCCAGCCACCACCCGGGAGCCCGCGCCGCCCACAGCGCCCCCGCGCGGCAAGGCGAAGAATATGTAATTGTATGGGAGGCGCTCAGTCCGTTTTGGGGAGGGCGGGTGGCAGGCTCTCTGTTCCACCGTAGTAAGGTTGCCAGAATTGGCAAGTACAAATTCAGGATGTCCACATAAGTTGAATTTCACATAGGCAACGAATCGTTTTTTAACAGCATTATTAAAATAAAACACACACCATATAACCCACCAATTTGTTTTTGGTATATTACATTAATTTTTTAAAACTGATAAAACATAAAATTTCCCATTTTAACCACTTTATGTGTACACTACAGTGGCATTAACTGCATTCACAATTTCCTGCAACCATCACCACCATCTATTTCTAAAACTTTCCCAGTTCTCCCCCAGCTTCTGGTAACAATAATACGAACTACTTTGGGTGTACTCTGTTTATCTGACATTCAAACTGAACTGAATGCCCTGTATTTTATACGAAGGAGATGGAGGTCTTGAGCCACGACACAGGATACAACAAAAGCTGCTCCTTTGGAGCCCGCTCCCGGCACCTGTAAATGTAACCTGGTGCGGAAAACGAGCGCACAGAAAATTTACGTAATTCTTCGGTGCTGGAGGAGGGAGGCTTTTACCTGGGAGAAGGCAAGCCCAGGGCCCAGAATACGAAGGAGGCGGGAAAAGGACCCTGAAACACTGGAATTATGCTCCACACTCAACACCTGATTCTTTGCTTTATATAAGGTCGGTTTTCTCTGAAACTCTTCAACCACCAGTGTCTAAACAGGCACTCATCACTTCTGTAATAGCCGATTCGTCAAAACGCGTCAAAGTCGAGGAAACCTCGAGGGGCGTCTGGCTAGGGGAAGTCTAAGCAAAGGCAGGCTGGAAACCTTCCCCACGCCGCCCGCTCAGCCCACTCCACCCTGCCTTCTAGATACCCGGCGGCGGGAGAAGGGCGCAGGCGTCAGTGTTGAAAATGCGAAGCGGGGCCATAGAGCCGGCGGAAGGGGCGGTGCTACCCAGGCGGCGGCGGCGCGCGCGCAGGCGCAGGCCCGCAGACGCAGGCGCTCAGATGACGCGCAGAAGCGCAGACGCAGACGCGCAGACGCGCAGACGCAGACGCGCAGACGCAGACGCGCAGACGCAGACGCGCAGACGCAGACGCGCAGACGCAGACGCAGACGCGCAGACGCAGACGCGCGGGAGGAAGATGGCTGCCGGATTCAAGTGAGTGTTGGGGGCTAGCGGGCGCGAGTTTGTACCGTGCCGAGTGGCGGCTTCCGTTACCCGGAATTTTCTCACCGGGAGACCGCCCCCTACCTGGTTCCCACTTCTTTCCACCACGGAAGCGGGCGGCGGGCGGGAGGACTGGAGGTGCTCGTAGTGAAAGGAAAGGGGGCCTCTTCCCGTCGGGGAGGCGAGCTGTTTTGAGCTCGGTACCCGCTGCGAGCGCTGTGGCTTGGTGTGTAGTGGACCTGCAGCCCCCGGGGAGCAGTTGTAACCTCGTGAAAAGTGTTCTGTTAGAAGCATCTGCCATGCTGCTCTGCCTCTCCCTTGAAATTTATTTCTAAAAGCGTTGTTCCTCGTTCGGAAGGTTTTACTTAAGCGTTTTTACTGCCGCTCTGGAGAAGCTTGTAGATTTTCGTTCTGAGTCCAGTTTTAAATAAATAAAGAAGATTCCAAAGGAAACCAATTGTACTGAAACAGTTATCTGTATAAATTCCAAGTTTATGGTATAATGAGATATACATCTGTTTTAGAATTAACTTTCTTAATTAAGATCTCCTGGGGAGGTTAGTAACTAACTCCTGGAATTTCGAAGTAAGGATGAGTCTTACAAGGTACCTTTGACAACTCTAAAGTAAAAACGAAAACATTTATTGTCTGTGGTTGTTAAAGTCGCAGGTACTGCTAATATTAATGGTTTATTGCCAACGGTCGTAATTGAAGAGTATGCTAAATTTCAGTCACGGGATAGCGAAAAATATGTAACTTTTTTCCTGCCCACCAAGAATCCCTGCTTCAGAGTGAGAGTGATGTTTCACACCAGTATTAATCCTCTTCTAAAGATGCCCTAGGATTTTGGGCTCCAACCCTATTCTTGTTTAAAGCAAAATTAAGGACAGCCTTTGAGTATGGTTATTGCAAAGGTATCTAATTTTTATAATTAGCAACACGTGGCAACATAAACGTTAGAATTCATGAAGGAAACTTAGTTACAAATTTTGGAAATTTCTGCTCCATCACCACACTATTAAGATTTTTGCCAGTTTCTGGATTTATATTGATTTACTAATTTATCTCATTTTTAACATGTGTTTCAGAACTGTGGAACCTCTGGAGTATTACAGAAGATTTTTGGTAAGTAAAAGTGGTTATGTACATTTTTTGCTTTTTGATAATGATATCATGTGCTCTTTTCATAAATACAAATATTAGTCATTACATTGCACACCTAAACTGTCATACGACAATTATACCTCAGTTTTTAAAAGACAATTTTCAAGTAATTCAAATTAATTTGAATTAACAAGGTTTAGTGTATTTTCACTGGTGTGTGTAAAATGTACATGTAGATGTAATCTACTTTCATATAATTATTTAGAAAGAGAATTGCCGTCCTGATGGAAGAGAACTTGGTGAATTCAGAACCACAACTGTCAACATAGGTGAGGGTATTTTGAGTTCTAAAATAGAATGTTGAAGTTGCTTCAGTTCTGAAAATAGAAGTTTTTATTTAAATTTTTCTTTGCAAAGTTTTTTTAAACTCAGTGTCCTCTCAGTTGTTATGCTCATTTTAAATTTTAAAGTAACTGTAAAGTGTTGTCCTGCTTTCCCCCATTCAAAACTTCTAAGACATGGTTTTCTTATATATCTTATTTATTAAATCTTTTGTTGCAAACATGGAATTTCCCAATTTTACCTATATGACATTCCCAAGTTTTAGCCTCTGAGCCATTTAAACAGTATTTCAGACAAATTCTGCCAGTGTCTAAGGGATTACAGTGATTTTGTGTCAAGAGATTTAAATCTTTGTAACAGCCCTGTGATTGAACAACAAAGGATTAACTCACTTCAGGGACAATGAACAATCCTTAGACCGGTGCAGCTGACCCTTGAACGACGAGGGTGTTGGGGTGCCGGCCCTCGCACAGTCAGAAATTTGAGTGTAATTTTACAGTTATGGATCGGTGCTTCGTAACCGAGGCTGTGCATCCTCAGACTCAACCAACTGTGGATCGTGTAGTACTGTGGTAATATTTATTGGAAATAATCCTTGTATATAGGTGGAAAGGTGCATTTCAAACCCATGTTGCTCTGCGGTCAACTGTAATTTTAAAAAGACTCAAGCAAGGAGTAAATTTTCATAAACAACTTAGATATGTAGCAAGATAGAATCATAGGTAGAAGATGAAAACACTTTTTCATTTTGTTTAAATACTTACCTTTTCAGGTTCAATTGGTACTGCAGATGGTTCTTCTTTAGTGAAGCTGGGAAATACTACAGTAATTTGTGGAATTAAAGCGGTAGGTTTACCGTATATATTACTAAGATTGGAGTTACTAAATTAGCTTCATAGAGTTACTAGATTGTAATACACACCTATAGTTCTGCTGTTGATTAGGCAATCAGGTGTCAGTTTTTTAGTATTTGTTTTCATTTCCCAAGTTTTCACCTTTGAGTTTTAGACAATACAACCCAAGTTTAATGGCTCTTAATTACAACTTATGAACATTCTCAAATGTGCTGAAATGGAACAATTTAAAAAAATCCTCACCACCTTTACTCTTTAAAGAATTTGGTTGTAATTTGAGAAATTGAGAGATTTTTGGTGACATTTTTATCTAGTGATGCCATTTACTCTATGCAAATGTGTAGAAATTGCTCAAAAGAAAAGCTTGAGGGAATAATAGCTACTATTTATTGAGTATTTGCTATGTTCCAGGCACCTTAGGTGTTTTACAGAATTATCCAGTTTAATCCTCAGAATAATCATTTGAAGTATTTCTCTCTTCATTTCCTATTTTACATGACATTCAGTAACTTGTCCAGGAACATAAGGCTCATAAATAGAACTTAGACATGACTGCCTCTGCTTTTTCGACTACACTGAATTCTGAGTTACTTAACCTAAGTTCATTCAATAACTGGCCCAAAGTCTCTCAGCCAAAAGGTGTGGGTCTCACTTTTGAACTAGGTCAGTAATTCTAGGGCTTTTGCTCTTGACCATTATACCATCAATTCCTAAATCTGTGTCAGTATCACCTGGAGTTTAAATTCAGATTCTTGGCTACTGAATAAGAGAATCTATTTTCTTTCTCTTAGGAAGAGAGGGTGGGACAGAAATCTAAAGAGCCCCAAGTAATTTTGATGAGTAGCACTACCATCAGCTGTGCTACTACACTGCCTTCTTGCCTTGCAGAGCTGGTGAGGAGTGGTCCAATGTTCCTAGAGCCCCTGACATACGTTTCCAAGCTCATCTTCCCAGTAGATGCTCATGATGTAGTTAACTAGCTAAGATGGTCTTTGGTAGGGCCTTCCATAACTGACTTCTTCACAATTTTTTAGCAGCTTCTTTCATAGAAAAATTTGTCTGCTTCTGTAGGAATTTGGAGCACCACCAACAGATGCCCCTGATAAAGGATATGTTGGTAAGTTAAATGACTTCATAAATTTAATACAAATACTTTAAGACAGTTAACACTATTAATATAGTTAAATCTTAGTAGGTGAGTTGAAGAAAATTATTCATAAGCTTCAGACGTCCCTGAAAAGTTTTACGTATGCTTATGTTAAAAGATAGCATAATAGCAAGATACAGGATTTTGTAAATACCTTTTATCAAACTTGTTTGATCACTTTTGGTTTATACAGATGTCATCAACCAAGAAAATAGATTCTCTTAGGCAAAGGGCTGTAATTGCAAACTTTTCTGTTTCCATAAAGAATTTTCCTTTATACCACTATGTGATTTTTTTTCTTAACTTGGACCATTTTTTCGTTATGGTAGGAACCAACATTTTAAAAATGCAGAACAGTTGGTATGACTAAAGGGGCTATCTACTGTTACAGATTGGAGTATTTTGAAAGAAACCCAGAAACTTTTGTGAATAGGATTAAGGCTGTTTCTTAAACACATGCTTTTTTTTTGGCGCAGAGGTTGTGTGGGAAAAAATAAATTTTATCTAAGCATAAGATTCTCACAAAGATGAAAAAGAATATAATTGATGTGTTACAATGGTTTCCACTTGGAAAGCCTATCCATGCCTACAGTTGTCTTTGCCATGGATTGATATTATCTTTAAAACTAAAGGAGGTGAAATTTGGTTCATAGCTGCAGTTTCTTTCAGTTCCTAATGTGGATCTATCACCTCTGTGTTCCTGGAGATTTCGGTCTGGACCTCCTGGAGAAGAGGCCCAGGTGGCCAGCCAGTTCATTGCAGATGTCATTGAAAAGTAAGATCATTATGATAAAATGTGACTATCATTCATTTTAGAGAGTTTTTGAACTTTTATTTACTGTGTTCGATGTCTTCAAATCAAGTTCACAGGTAATTCAGAAAGAGGACTTGTGTATCTCTCCAGGAAAGGTAAGAGGAATAAAGAAGCTATGAGCTTTTATTAACTCTGAAATGTTTTTTTGTGGGGGAAATTTAATTTTTTTTTTTTTTTTAAAGTTTCTGAGCCTTGAAGGTTATCTTGATTGTCTAGCCAAGGGTGTGGTTTGTAAGTAGAAACAAATACCACTTTACAGCAATCAGAAGGCTTTAATTTCCACTTTGTTTAAACTGTTTTAGCTTGCTTGGGTTCTATACTGTGATCTCATTTGCCTCAACCATGATGGAAACATTTTGGATGCTTGCACCTTTGCTTTGTTAGCAGCTTTAAAAAATGGTAAGCAACCTTAGGGAATACTCCTACTTATGTGTCAGAATGTTTCGTTTTGGTAAAATTTCTCAATAAATTTTTAAAGGTTTTTGTTAAGACTTACCTATCATTCATGTGTTTCTAAATTAAAGAAAAACATGTTTGTATCTACTGTATTTGCCTTAATTGTTCTAAGATATTTTTTAAAAAATACTACTTCTGGCCAAGTTTAATAGAGGGAAAAGTGAATTAATGAAGCATAGAATGCCTTTTTGTTTCTTTCACTAGAGAGACTGACTTTACATATTTGCCTTTTTCTAGTACAGTTGCCTGAAGTTACTATAAATGAAGAAACTGCTTTAGCAGAAGTTAATTTAAAGAAGAAAAGTTATTTGAATATTAGAACTCATCCAGTTGCAACTTCCTTTGCTGTGTTTGATGAGTAAGTTAATCAAATGTATTAAAAGGTTGTATATTTAATTGAAGGGAGGACAGATTCTTACAAGTAGTAGAATTTCAGGTTGCTGTTAACTTTTCTGGTTTCTACCAGTTCTAGCTCCTTGCTTAAGCTAAAATGCAGGTAGTGAGTTTAATTTGTACGGTTTTCTAAAATAAAATTTGTCCCATGGGTTGATAATTTATACCTTTTCATTTTTAAAATAGCACTCTGCTTATAGTTGACCCTACTGAAGAGGAGGAAAACCTGGCAACTGGAACCTTAACAGTAGTAATGGACGAGGAAGGCAAGCTATGTTGTCTTCACAAACCAGGCACGCACTTTCCTTCCATTGCAGTACTAAACACGTAGATGAAAACTCAGCATGAGCTTCTTTTATATTAAGGAGGGCCAAATGGAATGTGGGATGTTTTACTGGTTTACGTAATGTAAATTTACTATGTGATTTGTTACTTTAGATGCCTTGCATTTTTATATTGTATGTCAGTGATCCTTAAACTTCAGGAGGTCTTGTTAAAACATAAATGTGCAAATCTTGAGACCACACCACTGGTTTATATTATTCACTTTTTTGGTTTTATGTCAATAACTTGACATGATGTAGATCATGTAGAAACAAGTGTTGGCACAATAATTTTTCAGGTGGAAGTGGACTGACTGGAGCTAAACTTCAAGATTGTATGAGCCGAGCAGTTACAAGACACAAAGAAGTAAAAAAACTGATGGATGAAGTATTTAAGAGTATGAAACCCAAATAAACCACCACCACATTTTCAAAACAGATTTGTAAAAACTGTATTTGTTACACTGTGCACAAACCTTTTATACTAAATAAATATCAAACTACATTCTTCTGAAAGATGTTTCTAGTATTTCTTAGGTCACTTCTGTATTATGTACAGTGAAACCATTTTTAAAAAGCAATGACTTAGGCAAACCCACCCTAATGGTTCGTTAAACCATTTCCCTGTTTTTATTTAAAAATCATAGGGTTGTGCTTCTGTATAAAGTTTGTATATCTAGCAATGTAAAATACTGACATGTTAAAAAACAAAAACGAAGTAGAAACTCAGAATCCTTTTGATTCAATGCTCTTACGTTTTTTTTTTTTAAATAATAATGCAAGACTCAGAATTTTGGAGTGGTTGGCGTGCCTCTCTTCATTTTACTTTTTGACTGGCTGCCTGTATGCCGATGACGATGTAGCTGAGCTGTCTGTGCTGCTGCTGCTGCCGCCATAGCCATTTGATGCTGCAAGAACCGCAACTGCTGCAAAGAAGAGGGGAAAAAATCAAGTTAGGTTAAAGGTAGGCAGGTATGGAAGATGCTTTTCCTGAGAGTGATGAAAACAAAACTGAAAGGGAGAAAGCACCAAGGTAACAAAAAAGGACTATACCACATCAGGACAATGCACAGTCAAACAGCACCAGTGGCACAGAAGCCTGCTGCGGGCTTTAAAAATGGCTCTTGGTAAACTTCAAAAGTATTTCTGTTACTTTGCCTGGCCAGTCTATATTGCAGTAACTCAGCAACTTCAGTTACCATTTTGTTGTATGATAGTTCATAGCAATATAAAACCACCCTGCAAATTAAAGAAAGTCAACTATAATATGCTGACTTCTAGAATAATGGAACAACATTCTTCAAAAACAGGTATGACATTTACAAATAGGAACACTGGTACACTTGCCTTTTTCTGCAGTACAGTATTAAAAAGTTAACCATTGGCACTTAGAACTAACTATTTCAAAATGTACTGAATCCTATAAAAATGTATGTTAATGTGCCACCAGCACTTCAGGAAAGATTTTGAATTAGGAAAAGAGCATGACTTAAATGTACAAAATATTCAGTGCTCCAAGTTCATTGGCTAAAATTGTCAGACTTTTAAATAAAATTTGCTAAATTATTTACCAATTACTGTATAGTCTTACAAGACAGTAACATAAAACTAAAGTAAGGTATTTTGAAGTACTTTTGGAGCAGAGTATCTTTAAAAATGTAACCAGAGTGAAGTTGCTGGATTACTTGGATCTGTTGCTGCTGCTGTTGAAAGGCAGAGGAGAGCTGGAATCTCTGCTGAGGAAGGCTTTGCTCAGGTCTGTTCTCGGCAGAGCCAAGCTGAGACAACACTACAGAGAGGAGAAGGGGAAAGCAGGCCAGTCAGAAAGTTTGAAGGCTACCAGGGTTAGAAAAGGACAACACAGAAAATGAAATAATAGAAAAGTATCAGTATGATTAATCTTAAGTATCAAATCACAGACATTTCAGAATAAATTTAGTACAGTCTCCTGTTAGTTGAGGGTACCATTGATGATAGAACTTCCTGGACATGGAAGAGAAGGGAAAGCATGTGGGCCAAAGCACTGTATCCCTCTCTTTTCTTACATCTCAATGAAATTTGATACTAGTGCTATTTTGTTGAGAAGGCTTTCTAGCAAAACGTTGAATACAGTATGTTATTTTAAAATATAACCAATCAGGTAGGAAATGGAGTGGGAGAAATCCAAACTACCGTAAGGACAAAACTGGTAGACAAGTGCTAAAAGATGAATGTCAGACTACACTATTAGCAACAAAGGTGGTGATCCTTTTAGAGCTGAGTGAGATCAGGGACAAGTTCAACTCTCTCACTGCTCAGTTGAGGACATTTCAGACCTGGATCGTTTGAGTGACTCACTTAAAGGTAATTATTGGCAAGTCGAGCTAGGAACATTCTCATTTTTCAGCCTAGAGTTCTTTCCATGAAATTATACTACAGCTATTTTAGGAAAAAATAGCTTGTGGGGTAAAAGTTTATACTAATAAATTTCCATTTGGAAATTCACTGCCTCTAAATTAGAATTTTACATAAATTATTACAAATTCGGACACGGAATTATACCGGATTCTAAAGGCATCATAGTAAGCCCAGTGATAATTCAAAATGTTAACATGTTCACTCATTAATCCTCAAACAGTATCTCAGTTTTCTTATACATGTGGCTTCTTGATTTTAATTAAATGTAGAGTTATAACTGCTATCTTCAATTGATGAAATGATCTTCATTAAATGTATATCTTTGGTGCATCATTTATTACTAGAAGTGGTGAGCAATCATTTAGTACCATCATTTTTTTACAAGTGTCTTACAGAAGCTAAGCTACTTGACTATTAAGTCCTAATTCATACAACTACAAGCCACTGGAACGAGACAAAAGATTGTACAATCTGGAAAAATGCAGTCTCAATAACCCAGGAAAACTGAAGAGCTAACAGCTTTAGAAGCTTCCTATAAGTTGGGTAACTGTAAAATTTTCCCAACAAAATTTAACATGAGGAAAACATTACTGCTGTTAATATATGTAGGTCAAAGCACTTTAATCAATTATCAAAATAATGAAAAAAATCTGAGTGCCATCAATTAATTTAATAGTTCACACATTAAATACAACTAAACTTTTTCCTTGTAACTGTCTGCACAAGGAAAAGAAATAGTTAAAATGGTGAGATCCCAAATAGATTAGATACTTTAAATAAATTCAACATTTAGTTATGAAGATACCAACCAGCTGCCTGTGAATGCATATAACTTCCTACGCCAGCAAGGTTAATAACTGCAGTGTGCTGAGCAGATAAGGCCTGTTCTTGACTGGTACAACTTTGTTCAGAACCCTGAATAAAAAAATAATATGTGATTTGTACAAAAATAAAAACAATTTTGGATTAGTGGAATTAGTATTTTACTCCTGTATGAAAAAAAAAACATTCGTCTAGGTCTTGCAAAAAGAATGGCCTAAGGAAAAGACGTCAGAGGTATTTAGAATTAGCAAGAATAAGCTTATGGTATTTTGAAAGCAAGAAAATAAAACCTAATTTTCAGAACTGATTCTGTATTAAAAATAATTACTAAGGCTTCTACAAAACTTCATCAGAACTTTTTTTTAAATTGAAGTATAGCTGATTTGCAATATTGTTAGTTTCAGGTATAGAGCAAAGTAATTCAGTTGTATATATATACACACACACACATATTTTTCAATTATTTTCCCTTATAGGTTATTATAAGATATTGAAGGTAGTTCCCAGTGCTATATGTTAAATCCTTGTTGCTTATCGATTTTCTGTATAATAGTCTGTATCTGGTAATCCCATACTCCTAATTTAAGCGCCCCTGCAACATGGTAACCATACGTTTGTTTTCTATGTCTGTGTCTGTGGGTCTGTTTCTGTTTGGTATATAGATTCGTTTGTATTATTTTTTAGATTCAACATATAAGTGGTATCATATAACATTAGTCTTGCTCTGTCTGACTTAGTTCGCTTAGTTTGATATTTTCTAGGTCCATCCACATTGCTGTAAATGGCAATATTTCATTCTTTCTATGGCTAATATTCCACTGTATATATATACCACAGCTTCTTAAGCCAATCATCTGTTGATGGCACTTGGGTTGTTCCTGTCTTGGCTATTATAAACAGTGCTGCCAGGAACATGGGGGTGGCATGTATCTTTTCAAATAAGAGTTTTCATCTTTTCTGTATATATACCCAGGAATGGGAGTGATGGATCATATGGCAGCTTGGGTTTTAGTTTTTAAAGGAACCTCCATACTGTTCTCCATAGTGGCTGCGCCAATTTACATTTCCACCAGCAGTGCAAGAGGACTCCCTTTTCATTTAGGCCTGCCCATTTTTTGATAGGGCTGTTTGTTTTTTCAATATTGCTTCTATAAAGCTTCATCAGAACAAGTCTTTAAAGCTTAAAACACTGTTTGCAACATAGTACTAGAACTTCTAGTGAGCACATTCAAGAAAAGGAAACAAAAAGGCATATAGATTAAAAAAAAAACAACCTGCCCTTATTTGCAAATGGCACTGACTAGGAAAAAACACCCTAATGAATCTACAAAAAACTTCTAGAACAAATAAGTGAGGTCAGTAAGATTGCAGAACACAAGATCAACATACAAAAACCAATTCTGTATACTAGCAATGAACATGTAGAAAATGAAATTAAAAACAATACCATTAACAATTTCCCAAGAATGGGAAAAAAAAAGGGAGGGAGAAAGGAAGGAAGGAAGGGAGGAAGGAAGGGAAAGAAAGAGAAAGAAAGAAGGAAAGAAACTTAGGTGTAAATCTATGAAACATAGGTTTTGTATGCTGAAAACTAGCTGATTTTAGCCTAGAGACACACTGTGTTCATGGACTAGAAAACTCACGTAGTAAACATGCTAAGCCTTTCCCAAAATGACCTTTAGGTTTAACTCAATTCCTTTAAAAATCCCAGCAGTCTTCTGTAGATATAGATAAGATGATTCTAAAATTCATAAGGAAAGGCAAAGGATCTAGAACAGCTAAAGAATTTTGAAAAAGGGTAACATGGGAGGAATCACTGTGTCTGATTTTAAGAATTACTATGTGTATGTGTGTATATATATATATGTGTGTGTGTATATATATACACATAGTCTACAGCGATCACAACAGTATGGTACTAACAGAGTGACAGATATTAATACATAGATGGGTGAAACAGAGTAGAGAATACAGAAGTAGAGCCACACAAACACAGCCAACTGATCTTTGACAAAGGTGCAAAAGTAATTCAGTTGAGGAGGATGGCTTTTCTAACAAATGGTGCTGGAGCAAATGGACATCCATATCCCCCCATAAAATGAACCTGGACCAAAGTCTCATACCTTTTATAAAAATCAACTGAAAATGGATCATAGATTTAAATGGAAACTATAAAAAAAAAACTTTTGGGCCTAGGGCTAGGTGAGGAGTTCTCAGAATTAATACCTAAAGCACAATTCATTAAAAAAAAAAAAAAAAGATAACTCAGACTTCCATCAAAAGATGGAAGCAATCCAAATGTCCATTGATGGATAAATGGATAAACAAAATGTGATATATAAATACAATGAAATACTATTCAGCCTTAAAAAGGAATTTCTGACACATGCTACAACGTGGATGAACCTTTTGGGTATTATGCTAAATTAAACAGGTCAGTCACAAATAGACAAATACTGTATAATTTCACTTATATGAGGTGCCTGGAGTAGTCAAACTCACAGAAACAGAAAGTTGGCTAGAAGGAGGGGGAAATAAGGAGTTGTTTAATGGGTATAGAGTTTCACTTTTGCAAGATGAAAAAGTTCTGGAGATTGGCTTCACAACAATATGAATATACTTAATGCTACTAAACTGCATATTAAGAAATGGTTAAGGTGGTAAATTTTATGTTACAGTATTTTACAATTTTGTAAAGAAAGTGCAAATCAAGAATTTTATATCCAGCCAAGTAATCCTTTATGTGTTAATAAAGAAAAACAGTTTTAAATGTGCCCTTCCTGAGAAATCTAATAGAGGATGAGCATTATCCAATCAAGATTTGACCGGGGAATCTTTGGTGGAAGGACTGATAGTGAACATTACATATATTTAATTGTGAACTAAGAGAAACAATGAGGGTGGGACTCAGCAATCAGTAATTTTTAGTTTCCCAGATGATTCCAAAGTGCAGCAAAGGTTCAGAAAAATCTGAAGTTCCTTCTATTACTTTAATTTACTGTAGTTCTTGTTCATTTTGTTTGGCAATATACAAAGTATTTGTTTTTGTCTATCTTCGCTCTGTTCTATGCTTCAAGATAAAAAGAACATCTCTATTCTAATAGAGATAAAATAGTATCAAAAGAAGGATGATGACAGGGTAGAAAATACATGGCCTATAGAGGCAGAAAGACTTGGACTTGAATCCCTGCTCTGCCACTCGATGTATGGTTGTGAGCAAGTTAGTCACCTGAATCTATTTCAGACTATGCAAGATGGAAGTGACATCATCTATTCAAGTATGGCGGTTGTGAGAATTAGAAATAGGCACCCAATAACTGATAGCTGCTATTGTTAATGAAGAAAAACCGCACATGAAAAGTTGGTTCAAACAATCTAAATAAAAACACTTGAAATATGCTTGGCATATACCAAAAAAGGTTATAATTCTATGATACAAAGCATATGGAAAGTAGAAAGGACATACCTGCTCCCCTGGCTGTTGAGGAACAGAAGTTGTGGGCTGCTGAGGTTGCTGTGGTGTAAACTGAGAAAGCTGCTGCTGCTGTTGCAGTGTGTTAAAAATGAGCGAGCCACCTGGAAGCTATTAGGTATTTAAGTAAGAATTAATTAGCCGATTTCAGATTAAATTTCTTTATTCTACAAACATTTCTGGAGCATTCACTATGTGTCAGGCATTCTTCCAGGGACTGAGGAAACAGGTGAACAAAAATGGAAACAAAACAAGATTCCTGCCCTTAAAAAAAAGGAACAATCGCTTTGGCTCTCAAATATGTTAGTAATCTCCAATGTAAGTCTTTCTGCTTCAAGTTAATAGTTAGCTATCCAAATATACATACTGCTTTTATTTAACTCCTTTTATACATCAACACAAAACAGCATTAAATGCATTTGGAAGTATAAACAAGAAGCTAGTGATAATCAGATATATATTAAGAAAACTCGTCTCCCTAAATTTGGTCTAGCTTTGCCCTAAACCAGAAATGCATGGATTTTTATATAACATAGCTAGGAATTCCAAAGCTGAAAAGAAAATGCATTAGATGTCCATATTTAGTTTGCAGACATTACTTGCTCTGTCATTCTGAATAAATTAATTAAAAAAAAAAACTTTTAAAAAAGAAGCATCCAGAAAACTCCACACTAAAAACTAAAACTATGCATTCCAAATGTATCAGGAAACAAATGGTTTTTCCATTTTATTCTACAGGAGTTTAAGTTAAAAGCACTTTGAAGTTTTGTGGGAAAGTCCAAGCAAATATCAAATACAGAACTCTTAGGTCTTTATAGTCAAAAAAGGTGTCTTGGGTCAAAAGCTCTATACCCAGCATAGCTCATTGTTAGGTAAACCTGGACAAAGCACAGGTCAAATGTTCCTTCCTCAATTAGGTAGTCAGTAATAAATGTTGCAAAATATAATTTATAAGGTGGCTTTGCCCTTAATCCTTATTAACAGTGCTATTAAGGAATCCCACTCCTCTTAACACTGAGACTGATCCTTGTAGAAATTCCTACAGCAAAATGCAGGAAAGTCGGCTAAATAAACCAATGTGTCCATATCACAATTAGATCATTCTGCAATTAGTCTGTAAATACTGACACTGTTTCATATTGTGTACAGGAAATAAGTTTTAAGATTTAGTTCTAAATGTATTTCCTGATTTATTACTTCTGAATATCAGGTTGGGTTGATCTGTTTGTTATTTCCCAATAATCCATAGCTCTGCCATTCTTTGTCTCCAAATCTTTATATTTATGTCTACCTTTTCTAAAAATTCTCTGTAGATAATCCCATCCATTTTCCAACCTACTAGCTTAATACTGAACTCCCATCCTTAAAGGACCTACCATAACACTCAGAATATTATAAGTTCACAACATGTACTAAATTCTTTACCTACAATCTCTCTTTATATGTTAACATTGATAAAATGTGTTAAGAAAAGCCTCACTACTAGACACAAACTGTAATCTAACAAACATTTATTGACTGACTACTAGGTGCCTGGCACTGTGCCACGAAGTCGCATTCTCCTCAGGAAAAGAACACACATACCTAATTTTAAAAATTTCTATTCACACAGAAAATCTACTATAATCAAACAGCAATACCTACATGCATACGTAAAAAGTCTGTTAAGAGAGAAATTATTTCTAAGTATACCTGCTGCTACTATTGTAGGCAAGTTACTTTCCTTGGCAGTTGTCAACTCTCCCCTCTGGAACTAGTTCTTGATTTGGCAGTGGTGCCAGAGCCGATGAAAGTGCAGTACATAGGGATACCAACTCTTTCC